CTCAAGAACTTCAAGCGCATACATGAATACATTTGGCAAAGTCAATTGCAACACTTTCATTTCAGAAAAAAAAATCATCTGCATCAACATCCGACAAGTTATTATGAGAAAAAGTAATCTTAAAATTATTGCAACATTCTTTTAATTTATTGTCATCCAATGATTTCAACCTTGTAGAATCAATTAAAAATCTAAAATAATTTTAAAAAAAACTTTAACTTCTCAAATCTATCTTTCAAAGAAGCGATCGCCATATCAACAACAACAACAAAATAATTAACTTTAAAAGACTCCTCTGCTGATTGCATTTCTTCATCATGGTCATTCTCATCAAATTGTATTTTTTCTAAAAATACAACGCTTAGTCAGAAAAATTGGCTCTATGTTCATATCTAATGCAAGACTTTTAGCAATATCTATACTAGCTTCGAATCCCTTATTTATATAGTTTTCAAAATATGACATTACACCTTCCAACTCCTTTATGGTAGTATCAATGCACATTTATTTAGAGTGTAATTTCTTACTCACCGTGTTGATAGCAAATAAAATATCATACCAGATAACCATTCCAAGTAAGAATTCAAAACTTTGAAGGACACTAGCTAAACTTTCTGCTTCACTTTTTGCTTTTTGCATCATTGCCACAATATTCATATAATTCTAACAAAGCTAACCTTATTTTAGGAGCATGACATTTAATAGCTTTGACACTTTTAATTCGACTTTCCCATCGAGTATCATATAAAGATTTCACAGATTCTGGAACATTATCACATAAAATTTTCCACCTTTTGGTAGAACTTGCGAACAATGAATATATACGTTGCACAATCCCAAACAATGAAATATCTTTAACACAATAATGTGCCATATTAGAAAGAGAAATATTAAGATTATGACAAGTGCATGTCATATATAAAGCTCTAGGATTTATTTCAATCAATCTCTTTTGAACACCTTGGTGTTTTCCTTTCATATTAAAACCATTGTCATATCCTTGGCCCCTCACATCATCAACGCTCAACTCTAGAGATTGCAATTTATTTACTAATTCATTAAAAAGCCCCAATCCAGATATATCATCCACTTTCAAGAACTCTAAAAGGTACTCTTCTATTTTTACTTTGTTGTTTGACATATTTACGCATCGCACTATTAGAGTCATTTGTTCTTGATGACTTACATCAGGGGTACAATCAAGAATAACAGAGAAATACTTTGTCGTCTGGATGATCTTTATAATAGAAGTTCTAATACTATGGGCCAATAGAGATTAGTTCATTTTGAATTTTATGACCAAGATAATGATAATGAATATTTTCATTTTGAATATGACTAATATGGTCTTGCATATGGCAAATCAAATTCAACAATCATTTCAATTAATCCTATAAAGTTTCCATTACTCTCATCGTAAATTTTCTCACTAGATCCTCGAAAAGCTAAATTATTTTTAGCAAGCCATTTTACAACACAAACTATTCTTATTAAAACTTGCCTCCAACGTTCTTTCGCTTTTGAAATTCCTTTGTTGCAAATCTTTAGCAAGTGTTTGATTAGTTTTAAATCTCACTCTTAATTCACTCCAAATATTAATGTTAGTCATATGCTCAATACTATTTTCATGTTGTTCGAGTCTCTCACTAAGATGCTTCCAATCATTTAATCCATCATTGCTAAATAACTCTTATTGTTTGCTTTGTAACAATTTTACAACAAACAATAATAAACTTTTTCCACATGTTTAGAATAGACCAACCATTTTCTATCACTAATCTCTCCATTAATCAATTTTCTAGAAAAATAAGCATATGAAAAATGCCTAGAATTATTGGCTAAGGGAAATTTCAAATTCAATTTCTTATAGGCTCATTTTCAACTAAAATATCTCCAGATTTATTATCAAGATTATCCCAATTTCTAGGATCATAAATGTCCCAGTAGGGACTAAGTATTGATTAATCCCAACATCTTCAACATTAGACTCATTTTGTGCATGATTATGGACATTTAAATTAGAAATGTCACCATCTATATGATTTAGGATATCATGGTAATTGCATCAGTAGCACTTAGATTGGTACAATTTGAAGAACTATCAAAATTATTTAAATTCCCAACTATATCATTTAAATTTTTATTAGAAGGCTCTCCTACTCCACCTTTAAAGAATTTATCAAGAACTCCCTTTTGTGATTCTATTAAATCATCTCTTTGTGATTAGTTTTTAATCTCACTCTTAATTCACTCCAAATATTCATGTTAGTCATATGCTCAATACTATTTTCATATTGTTCGAGTCTCTCACTATGATGCTTCCAATCATTTAATCCATCATTTGCTAAATAACTCTTATTGTTTTGCTTTGTAAACAATTTTACAACAAAAAACAATAAACTTTTTCCACATGTTTAGAATAGACCAACCATTTTCTATCACTAATCTCTCCATTAATCAATTTTCTAGAAAAATAAGCATATGAAAAATGCCTAGAATTATTGGCTAAGGGAAATTTCAAATTCAATTATCTTATAGGCTCATTTTCAATTAAAATATCTCCAGATTTATTATCAAGATTATCCCAATTTCTAGGATCATAAATGTCCACAGTAGGGACTAAGTATTGATCAATCCCAACATCTTCAACATTAGACTCATTTTGTGCATGATTATGGACATTTAAATTAGAAATGTCACCATCTATATGATTTAGGATATCATGGTAATTTGCATCAGTAGTACTTAGATTGGTACAATTTGAAGAACTATCAAGATTATTTAAATTCCCAGCGATATCATTGAAATTTTTATTAGGAGGCTCTCCTACTCCACCTTTAAAGAATTTATCAAGAACTCCCTTTTGTGATTCTATTAAATCATCTCTTTGTTTCTTTTTTTTTCTTTTTTCACTATCAGACAAATGTTTTTTAGGCAACATTGTATAACTATTCAACTAATGTAGAAAAGAACAATAACACCTGTAAATGAGAAGATCCTCGATCGAAGTATTTATACGCCAAATTCGTAACACTGTAATGATTGAACTTAGAAGGAAGATGAAGTCTGCATATCCACGTTTGACATTTCATATCCAAAATTTATGAAACAAAAAAAAGAGAATAAATTTATCTAGAATTTAGAAATATATAAAAATAAAAATAAAAAGAATTTGGAAACATGAACTTACTTAGGATTTTAAAAATAGCTTCAATGACCACAATTGATGATAAGTAATTGTGATTTTGTGTTTGTGAATTGTGAGAAATATGAGAAATTGAAAATTGAAAACAATAATTTTCAAATGAATTTTGAAATATGAAAGAAAAAGAGAAATAAGTTAATTTTACTTCAATGTTCTCATCTCATTTATAGGGAATAAAAAGTAACCGTTGATAAATATTATGAATTTGAATGTTAGTAAGATTGTTTTTTGAATTTTGATAACAATTAACAGTTTTTAACGTTATTTCCAAATTTTAATTAACAAGTTACGAGCAATTAAAATTAATTCATTAATGTAACCTAAAAAAAGAAAATAGTGATTAATATTTGTGGGCTCTGGGTTACAGTACTTTTAATTTAGTTTTACTCTTAATAACAATATAATAAGAAATAAAGAGTGCATTAACAAAATCGGTGAATTAATTAATAATTTATTAAAGTATGGTAAATCAATATAAATTAGAATTATGGGCCCTGGGCGGGTGCCCCTCTTGTCCCGGCCCAGAGCCGGCCCTGCATAGAATAATAGGGTATGGAAGAAAGCACCGACTTGGCTAGTGTGATTCGATCTGCAAGCGATAAATTTTTGCCACCCATCTAGTAAGTTTTCTCATACTTTTTGCACTATAAATTGATATGTTACTTTGGCAGCTCGATTGTGTAATAAAAGTACCCCTAGGTATCTGCCTAGATAACCAACCTTCGCAAACCCACACAGATTGTTGATTGTTTCCCTAAAATTGCGTTCTACATTTTTTTATTATAGAATATTTGGTTTTGGTTAAGCTTACCTTTTGGCCTAACACTTGACAGAACTCATGCAAGATATCTTTAATGGTATCCATTTGTTTTCTCAGGGATTTTGCGAATAGCATCGTATCATCAACGAAAAAAGGTGTCAGATTTTTGGTCATTTTCTAGCCATTCGAATTGGGTTCCAATCTTGTTTGTCCACGTTTTTCCTAATTGATTGTGCGAGTCTCTCCATATATAAGATGAAGATGTATGGGGAAAGAGGGTCTCCTTACCTAATTCTCCTTCTCAGTCGAAAGGGTGCTGAAGTGGAGCCATTCCAAAGAATTTGCGTTGAAACGGATGAGACAATTCATGATGATACACCTCATATTTTCAGGAATTCCAATATCTCTTATTCCATCTCCAGCGCATCGTTGGAGTGGCATTCACCTCCAGCGCATCGTTGGAGTGGCATTCACCTCCAACGCATCGCTGGAGTGGCATTCATCTCCACTTTGGAGATGATCTTATACTCCGACCCATCGCCATTGTTATGCTGGATTATGACGTCGGGTTACAGTGCACGCCACAATTGGCGTTCCACTATAACTGCACTACATTTTTTTGTTATTTTTCTGATTTTTGGTTTTTTTAAATTTATTTTGTGTTTTTTTTATTGTAATTTCTACACAATAAAATAAAAATTAAATATAATATAATAAATTCAAGTAGATTAAATTGCAAGATAGATAAAAATACATTGAAATTAGATAAATAAATATACTAATTTTTTGAAACATAAAAACTACAATAAACATAAAAACATAGAAAATACTAATAAAACTCAAACAACATTTTAACCAACAACCCATTATTATTATTATAAATTGTATTTTTCTTATTTATTTGTATTTTCGCAATGTTATTTATGAATGTATTGTTTATGCTTTTTATCTTGATATTTATTAGAAATGTATATATTTTATTTTATATTTGCAAAATCAATATTATAACAGTTAAATATTGTGAATAAAGTAGAGTTGGTGGTAATGTAGAGATAGTACTAAATATGAATTACTGTTTCATCTTTAGAGTAGAGATAGAGATGATGTACAATAGAGATGAGGGTTGGAGATGGCCTTAGTGTATCATCCATGAAATTCCATTCGATTCTATTGTAAGCACCATTTTTTTAACCCACTGGGGTGACCCGATTCCAGGCCAAGTGTTTGACCCGACCCAAGATCCGACCCGGTCCAGACCCGGTTCCTGCAACAGCTATCCCTATGCCTTACCTCCCAGCAACACCATGCCCCTATGCCTGCCCTGCTCCAGTCAAGGATGTGCCATTGACCTGACAGCCACCATGTCAATAACCATACTCTGGCACCGCCGAATTGCTAGATATGGCAATCAAATGTATTGCTTAGGGGATAGTTTTTTTTTCTATAATGGGTATATACCTAAGAAAATGAAACATAATGGAGACAAAGAATACTTATGAGAAATCAAACAAAAGAAACTCTACAAGTTTTTCAGCAATCAAAATTTTAAGGTATTCTAATGTATTTTTTCTTTTCGTTCAATACTAGTTCTAGGCTAAAAACAAAATGAAATAAAATAAAGATCTGGAATATTTACCTTGCTGCCGGGGAGGGTTCGTTGGGGTTGTTGTCGTCGGTGAGAAGTTTTAAGAGTCGTTTACTTGAGTCTTAGATCGTTGTTGAGTGGTGTTAGTGGCCGATCTTGGAGCGGTTTGGTTCTCGGTGATAGGAGGAAGAGAGGCTAGTTGGGGTTCGATTTCGGCCGTGTTTAGGAGGACTTAATTCCTATGTCGGTTCGGGGTGGCCAGTTGGAGCGAATATCTACCAATATGCAGTGGCCAGGATGTCGTAGGGCTTCGATTCATTGATGAGGTGGCCACCGTGGGTATTGAGTGAAGAAGAAAGGGAGAGGGAGGTTAGGGATTTTAATTTTATCGGGTAGAATGCAGAGAAGAAGAGGAGAAGTGATCTCATTTTGAGATTTTTGGGTAAATCACGCTAAGGTCCTTGAACCTTCAGCGTGTTTTATGTCTCAGTCACTAAATAATGGGTTTATTATGTATAGGTCCCCTAACTTTAGGAAACTCTTGGTATATTGGTCATAATTTTAAGGTTAAATCTCAGTCTACGTCCTCCCAGTTTCAACGTATTTTACGCTTTGGTCACTGTTAGGGTGAAATCACCTTTAGCTCCTTGGATCTTTCCCTTGTTTTAGCGTTTTGGTCACCCAATACCTCATTTTGTTATATTTGTTGAATTTGACATTATGGTTCATTTTGTTACAGTTTAGTCATTATTTGCTTTGCTATTTCATTAAACTTGACCATTGTTTTTATGTCCTTTCATTTTAGTCATATGTATTATGTTTTATTATGATTTTGGGGTTCATATTATCTTATTTTCTTGTTTCATACCTTGATACTTGTTTTATTTATATTTATAATCTTAAAATTATTTTACACTTATTTTTTCACTATGTCATGAATGAATGCACATGGATATTGTTTTATGTTGTACCATTAAATATGTTTTATGCATTACGTATTTATTTTACATATATTATTATGTATTTATTTTACATACATTATGTTATGATATGTATATGTAATATTGTATGTAGAGCCTTGTGTAAATATTATATTTTAGAATAAATATTATGTTCTATGACATTTTATTTCGCCTAAAATCCTCATAAGCATAACTCAACCAATTACATAATTGGATTAAGGGTAGTATTTATTTATTTTAAAATATTAAGAAGGGACGATCTTAAAGTAACTAGATGTCCTTTTCCGATGTTTTAAAATAAATAAATATCCCTCTAGAAAAACCTTAAAAAATTGATTGCATTTAAAATTAATTAAGTTTGAAAGGAAAAGGAAATATTCGTTTATTTAAACTTATCGAGATAATTCACCTAATTTTATTAGGGATCAAGTCTCGATATTTTTAAATATTTGAATATCCCTTATCTTTTTTAATCATATAATTTGGATAAATTAGATTAATTTCTTTCATTGGTTGAGTCAAATTATTTTAATCTTGAATTCTTGGGAGAAATTATTATATATATTTTTTATTTCAATTTTAAAGAGAAATATTCGTTCTAAAGTATTTTAGGGATTATTTCTCTTCGATTGGAAATATTAGAATATTTTTTATTTCTCCTTAGAATTTTTCGTTAAATAAAAATTGTATGGTTGAATATGGAATAATAGGATCGTAACTTAAATTTATATTCAAATTCTTATATTTCCACTATTAGAGACAATTTATAATCGATGGGGTACCAATTTTTGGGCGTTTTGGGGGTGCTTATCCTTCCCCACACGTAATTGATCCCGAACTCTTTTTTTATTACAAAAAAGAATGAATTTTTGGTTACACGCAGACTGATTTATCTTTTAAAATGACATTTTCTTAAAAACTCTTTTAAAAGGCATTTTAGGTATTCGACCTACTTAACCCAAAAGGTCGATAGTGACTCCAAAACATTTCAAAACATTTTCAAAGGAAAAACCCCCAAGTCATATTAAGTTTTTCCCCGCCCGAGCAAAAAACGGTGTCGACAGCTTGGCCACTCCGCTGGGGATTTAGTGGATCAAGCCCTAAATCAATTATATATTGTCTCTATAGTTGGAAATTGAGAATTCGATTTTATTTAATTCACGATTCTTTTTTATTTCTTTCAATTCTTTTATTCTTTTTATTTTATTTTATATGATATCCTTGTATATTAATGGTTGTATTTGATTGATATTGAAATTTTGGGATTCACTTTAGTTTGATTTTTTGTGTGGTTGTTTGTTAAAGGTTTGACAATTTCTACTCACACAAAACACATGCATTTCATAACATAAGCTCTACACCCAAGCTCTTCCTTTTTATGTGGAAGTGAAAGCGACGTCTTTGTGAGAATTTATTCTCTGTGTCAGACTTAGCATGTAGCTTTCGGGGTTCATATGTCATATGTCTCCGTGACGATTTATTCTCCATGTTAGGAATAGGGAAATGTGCCTTCTCGAATTGAAATCGATCTGCTTAAGCCTATAATGGGTAAGGATTCAAGGTCTGGCTCGCCCAAGGGGGCACCGACAAGGAAAATTCGAGTACCTTTATTCTTAGAACTGAAACTCTGCATATAGTCAACCATAAAAACCCACCCGATCTAAGACCATGCCGAAACTCTGTCCATAGGTACCCAAATAAGTGTACGCAAAGGAGGAATGAACTCTAACCTTCATTTTTTAATTTATTCGATAGATTCTTTTTGAATAAATACATGTGAACTAGAAATTTAATTTATGCCGAAACACTGTATTTTATGGTTCATTTACCAGTTGAATTTAATCTTTTCATATTTCACTAACATACATTTCCTCACTTTGATTATTATTTTTTGCTACCATCTCTTACTTATTTTGTTGCTTTATTTTTGCATAAACATGATGTTAATACCCGAGGTAATTATCAAATTAGAAGGCTTTTAAAACGAAAATGTCACACGTAGGGGTAAATATTTTATCTTTTTTGACATGTTGGGACATTGTGAGTTTTCTGAAAGTTGTTCTAAGAGAATTACCCTGAAATTAACACATGTTTCATATATCATGACATAGAAGGTATTGATTCCCGAGTTAATAATCGCATTAGAAGGCTTTCAATAAGACAATGTCACTCGAAGTGGTAGAATAGAAATGCAAAAACATATCAATGGTCCAGAAGGGTGCTCTAGTAAATAACTGAAGAGCTACATCAAGCTGGAATACATGAAGCTCAAATGATGTAATAAAACAAGCTTTTCAAGGGTGCTACGACGATGTTGATACAACTAGCCGAAAAGAAATAATACGTTTGAGGTCATCAAGCAACAACGATAACCAACACGAGATATTGGATGATGTCAATCACATATGGTCATTGAAAAAATGTATTTCTGGAAAATAAGTCGAAGCGTTGGAATTTTCATCAAGCCAAGGATAAAATAAGATTGTTTCCTTGCATGTTCGATCAAAATTGAAGAAGTCAAGTAATATGACGTGATTTGTAGTTTCCATCTACCTCGATGTATTGAGACATTGTGTGTTCTTTGTGAGTTGTACTGAAACCAAGCTTGGAAGATAACCTGGCTCATGAACGAGATAGAAAAGCTAGGAGCCAAAGCTATTTTTATTTGCAGTTTGGTTATTTGATGTATTGAAACCATTTGAGTTCAATGAAAATCATTTAAGATGGTTACTCTAGATTAACACTTTTTTATGCATGCACTGCATTTGTAATGGTTAATTTTCAAATCTTGCATTAAAACATTCATTCATTCAAATACGTAAAATAATAAGATAAGGTTTTCGATAGCATGGATCTGAGTTCACACTATTAGCAAGAACGCTTATCATTTGCACAACGATAGAAAATGCCTAAAGAAATAGAGGATAAGTTAGCCAGAATTGAGAGAGAACATAAAGAGATGCAAGAAGAAATGAGGAGAAAGTTGATGCAATTTGAAGCTAATATCGCAAACTCTCAGCTCGATTTACTGAAAAAGGTGGAAGAGATGTTTAGAAGGCATGTGACCTCTGGAAAGAGTCTTGCAGAAAACCCCGCATATCCTCCAGGTTTTACACCTGTTTACATTTCTGAGCACACCTCTGGGCATCAGAAAATTCGACCTCCAACCTGTTTCACTGCTGAGAACCCACAATATCATACTGGAGCTCCATTCCCCACTGATTGTCATAATGCATCTAGGTTTAAACTAGGAGATTTTTGTGCTGATAATAAGGTCCCTGACTTGAATGATTTAGATGAGAAGGAAAAATTGACCCAAGGATTGAAAAGTGTAGAAGAGGTGATAAAATCAAGGGAGATGATCGGGTCAGTAAATGGGTTGGATGCGAAAAAACTAAGTTTGGTCCCCGACCTGATTCCCCCAATAAAGATTAAGATTCTGGATTTTGATAAGTATAATGGGACCACATGCCCTTCATCCTACATCACCATGTACTGTCGTCGGATGACTGGCTATGTGGAGAATAAGAAGTTGCTGATCCACTGTTTTCAATATAGTTTATCTGGACCGGCTTCCAAATGGTATAACTAGATAAAGCGTACTTAAATCCGTTCTTGGAAAGACTTATCTCAAGCCTTTTTGGGTCAATACAAGCACATGATGGATCTGGCCCCTGATCGAATCACGTTGTAAAACATGGAGATGAGACACAACGAGAGCTTCCGACAATATTCGCAATGATGAAGGGACGTTGCTTCTCAAGTGTAACACCCCCAACCCGTATCCGACCCGAATACGAATCCGAGGTGTCACATTGACAGTTCAAAACATGTACTTTTATAAAAACCATAGAAAATTAAAAACTTTCATTCTATAAAGTTAATATTTTACATAAACATGTTCAAAACCTTATCAAACTCCATCAGAGCGTATATTCTTAGTAACTTTGTTTATATGACAACATACTAATTTACATAACAGAACATACTTTATAAAATATTTTTGATCTGATATTCGAGTGGAGATATGCTGTTAGCTGATACTAAGCTTGATCATCTTGCTTACTAACACCTACGTATAAGACACTTACACGCTAAGTCATAAACTTAGTGAGACATGTAAATACATAAAGTAAACTAACAAATGTATGAACATATCATGTAATACACATCATACTTATATACATATTTAAACCATCATTAACATGTGTATCATTACTTATTTCATTGTCATTAATTCACTTATATCATATGAGCATATATTTAACATAAACATATAATATAAATTACAAAACACAACAATACATGAATAAGTACTACTATACACAATCACATATCATCTCATATTATAGATACATATATGCACTTATTATTATTATCCTCATATGATTATGAACTTATCATCTATACATGTCA